CAGTGAATCATCTTTCCTGCTGTATTTAAAAGCACCCATCCTTGCGTATCAGGTTGAGAACTTGTGTTCCTTAGCTGAATCATGAGGGTTTATGCTACACTGTCTCTATTCCCTGGGTGACATGACTATTCAGAATGTATTCTACTCTGGGGAACAGTCCATCTCATTTCCCTGGGAACCACAGGATCACTCTGGCTTTTGAAAAGCCACAATTTTAAGAATATATGTAAGCATATTCTTGACTTTCTTAGCTCACAGAAATGCTATTCCTGCATAAAGTATTTGCTGAAGAAATGACTTCTTACCCTGGGTAGAGAGAAACCAAGCCTTATTATTTGGATTATTTTTAAACAAATGAACATATAAACACCACCACACTACAGTGAGAGATCATTTTATGTGTGAGAATTAAGCCTTATTTCCCCTTCTTGGCTGTCTTCTTGGGACCCTGTAAATGAATGATCCCTGCCTTCATTCTCCTCTAAGTTCCATTTACCTTTAAAAATTCCAAGCAGCCATATTATACCAGATTCCTCTCAGGATGTCCTTCTTTCTTAAAAATAATTGTCAGAAAACTCATCTTCTGATTGGGAGGTGTTCCAACAAAAGTTGATAGGCCTAGTAGCGTGCAGAATAAGAATGCAGAATCCAGCTGGGCATAGTGGCTCGTGCCTGTAATCGCAGCACTTTGGGAGGCCGAGGCAGGTGGGTCACCTGAGGTCACAAGATCAAGAAAAAAAAAAAAAAAAAAAAAAAAAAAAAAAATACAAAAAATACAAAAAAAGTAGCCAGGCGTGGTGGTGCATGCCTGTAGACCCAGATGCTTGGGAGGCTGAGGCAGGAGAATCGCTTGAACTCAGGAGACAGAGGTTACAGTGAACCAAGATCACACCACTGCACTCCAGCCTGGGTGACAGAGCAAGACTCTGTCTCAAAAATAAAAAGCATGTGGAATCCAGGGGCACTGGCATGGCTATCACCTGCCATTGTGAATAGAAATGTCCTGAGATGACTCTTAACTCGGCATGGTACTTGGCACTTCTCAAGGAATCATTCTACATCATATATGTGTTCTTTTCAGCTGGTCAGTTTGAATGTAATACTTGCAGGTAAGTTTATCTCTAATCCTTTTATTACCTAAATGAACCAGCACTTCCTCTGCTATCCCCCAGTTGGACTAAAACTCACTCTCTTCTGGCAGAAGGGATATCTGTTTTATGATGATTGTGAGATCTTATTTTTATTCTCTAAAATAGAGTTTCCAATAAGAATATTGTCTCATGTAAAGCTTTTCCTTTAAATTGACCACTGATTCTAGAAGATTAGTGTAATGTAAAGATCACAAGAATACTTGGGTGCTTTATACATATATTTATTAATATCTACATAGTTATTCATCTGCTTATGTAAATATATGTACATATTTATATTCACATGTACCTATAGGTTCTGTTAAAAATGAGGTCACCTGAACTGAAATGAACTTCACAATTATGGTTTGTTTCTAATTGTCTTTAATAGTCAGTCCTAACATCAGCAACATACTGATCCAAAATTCAGTGTGTACAGAATTAGTGTTAAAAAGAATCCCTGTATTTTAAATGTTCAGGGATTTGCTAGTAATTACATTGTAGTTTTTGTCATGCAAAAATGATGATTACAAATGCATTTGTTTTGGGTATTTAGTTATTTACTGATTTGTTTCAGAGGTACACAGTTTATTTTTATGCCAGAGAGAACGTTCAAATCAAAGTAAATAAATCATGTCATCCAGGATCATCTACATCCTGTAAATGTCTACAAACAGAGGTTTACTTTCTCTTTGTAGATATGAGAGTTAGGGCTTCTAGTCATTTTTCCAGGACAGTAGTGATTTGTATATAAGCTAGAATTCATTCCTTTCCCCTGTATTTCCTAATTGGTAAATGTTCAAATGGATTTTTTTACACTGTGGAACTGTAGGCTTTTGTATCAGAGAATGTCTTGTTCATTAAACTTTGAGTTTAATGCATTAGCATTGCCTATATCCATGTGTTCCCAACATGTTATTTTCCCAGGCCTAGGTTATTTACTTCGTTTATACCACAATATTATTATATATTAGCCTTAATGATGTCTTTACCATCAACTCTTAACATGCCAAATTGAAAGCAGTGTTTGCTAATTAATTTAGAGGAATGAATTCAAATTGTCCATGGTTATGCTTTCTAAGACTTTTTCTTCCTTCCCCTTTTTGTCTCTTCACTAAGACAATATGAATGATGATTCAAGTAACTTGAAAGAAGGCAGTAAAGACAATCCCGAACCTCTAAAGTGCAAACAAGTGTGGCCAAAAGGAACGAAGCGTGGTCTATCTAAGTGGAGGCAAAACAAAGAGAGGAAGACCGGATTTAAACTGAATTTGTACACCCCGCCAGAAACACCCATGGAACCTGATGACCAGGTGACAGTGGAAGAGCCAAAGGAGACTTCAGAAGGAAAAACTAGCCCCACTCCCATCAGGATCGAGGAGGAAGTCAAGGAAACTGGGGAAGCCCCGCTGCCTCCAGAGGAAAACAGAAGGGAAGAAGCATGTGCACCTGTAAGTCCAAATACATCACCAGGTGAAAAACCAGAAGAGCTCATCAAACCTGAGGAAGAGGAGGAGGAGGAGGAAGAGGAAGAAGAGGAAGAAGAAGAAGGAAATATAGAAAAAGATCCAGATGGTGATAAAAGTGAAGAAAAAGAGGAACCAGAAATCTCCACGGAGAAAGAAGACCCTGTGCGTTTGGATGATCACGAAGAGGAAGAGGAAGAGGACGAAGAGCCATCTCACAACGAGGACCATGATGCGGATGACGAGGATGACAGCCACATGGAGTCTGCCGAAGTGGAGAAGGAAGAGCTGCCCAGAGAAACCTTCAAAGAAGTACTGGGAAACCAGGAGGCTTTTTTAGACCTTAATGTACAGCCTAGTCACTCGAACCCAGAGGTCTTAATGGACTGTGGCGTCGACCTGACAGCTTCTTGTAACAGTGAGCCCAAGGAGCTTGCTGGGGATCCTGAAGCTGCACCCGAATCTGACGAGGAGCCACCTCCAGAAGAACAGGCACAGAAGCAAGACCAAAAGAACAGCAAAGAAGTCGATTCAGAGTTCAAAGAGGGAAACACAGCAACTGTGGAAATCGACTCTGAGACCGTCCAGGCAGTTCAGTCTTTGACCCAGGAGAGCAGCGAACAGGATGACACCTTTCAGGATTGTGCCGAGACTCAAGAAGCCTGTAGAAGCCTACAGAACTACACCCGTGCAGACCAAAGTCCACAGATTGCTGCCACTCTGGATGACTGCCAACAGTCAGACCACAGTAGCCCGGTTTCATCCGTCCACTCCCATCCTGGCCAGTCCGTACGCTCTGTCAACAGCCCGAGTGTCCCTGCCCTGGAAAACAGCTATGCCCAAATCAGCCCAGATCAAAGTGCCATCTCAGTGCCATCTCTGCAGAACATGGAAACCAGTCCCATGATGGATGTCCCATCAGTTTCAGATCACTCACAGCAAGTCGTAGATAGTGGATTTAGTGACTTGGGCAGTATTGAGAGCACAACTGAGAACTACGAAAACCCCAGCAGCTACGATTCTACTATGGGAGGCAGCATCTGTGGAAACGGATCTTCACAGAACAGCTGCTCCTATAGCAACCTCACCTCCAGCAGTCTGACACAGAGCAGCTGCGCTGTCACCCAGCAGATGTCCAACATCAGCGGGAGCTGCAGCATGCTGCAGCAAACCAGCATCAGCTCTCCACCGACCTGCAGCGTTAAGTCTCCTCAAGGCTGTGTGGTGGAGAGGCCTCCGAGCAGCAGCCAGCAGCTGGCTCAGTGCAGCATGGCTGCTAACTTCACCCCACCCATGCAGCTGGCTGAAATTCCCGAGACGGGCAACACCAACATTGGCTTATACGAGCGAATGGGTCAGAGTGATTTTGGGGCTGGGCATTACCCACAGCCATCAGCCACCTTCAGCCTTGCCAAACTGCAGCAGTTAACTAATACACTTATTGATCATTCATTGCCTTACAGCCATTCCGCTGCTGTGACTTCCTATGCAAACAGTGCCTCTTTGTCCACACCATTAAGTAACACAGGGCTTGTTCAGCTTTCTCAGTCTCCACACTCCGTCCCTGGGGGACCCCAAGCACAAGCTACCATGACCCCACCCCCCAACCTGACTCCTCCTCCAATGAATCTGCCGCCACCTCTTTTGCAGCGGAACATGGCTGCATCAAATATTGGCATCTCTCACAGCCAAAGACTGCAAACCCAGATTGCCAGCAAGGGCCACGTCTCCATGAGAACCAAGTCAGCGTCTCTGTCACCAGCCGCTGCTACCCATCAGTCACAAATCTATGGGCGCTCCCAGACTGTAGCCATGCAGGGTCCTGCACGGACTTTAACGATGCAAAGAGGCATGAACATGAGTGTGAACCTGATGCCAGCCCCAGCCTACAATGTCAACTCTGTGAACATGAACATGAACACTCTCAACGCCATGAATGGGTACAGCATGTCCCAGCCAATGATGAACAGTGGCTACCACAGCAATCATGGCTATATGAATCAAACGCCCCAATACCCTATGCAGATGCAGATGGGCATGATGGGCACCCAGCCATATGCCCAGCAACCAATGCAGACCCCACCCCACGGTAACATGATGTACACGGCCCCTGGACATCACGGCTACATGAACACAGGCATGTCAAAACAGTCTCTCAATGGTTCCTACATGAGAAGGTAGACAACGTGGGCAGTCCACACAACCTACCAGGCATCACTATTGGATTGATCTGCACAAATACCTTTGAAGAGTACGATTTCAAAACCAGCAATTGGTGTGAATGCAAAAACATTTGTTGGCACCATTTATTTAAAAAAAAAAAAAAAAAAAAAAAGGCTGTTTCCGCCGAAAAGCCTTATACAAGTTGTTTTTTTTTTTTTCCTTTTTTTTTTTTTTTTTTTTGGTACCTTCGTTTCTGTTACTTTTATATGAAATTCTCTGCAAAGGAAGGCCTCTCTTGGGACTACAACTTGGAGGCAGCCACTTGTTGTGCCTGCTTCTGTTAAACAATGTGGATATCAAGCCCCCCCCCCAAATTATCTGTTTTAATATTGAACCTAGAGCTTTTGTTTTTCCTTCCCTGTCCACTCCATGTAAATGCCTTTAGCATTTCAGTTCTTGTATATTTTGTTTAAGGTGACACTTCAGCATGCCGCTAATGTCTTTGTTAGTGACAGTGCATTTTGTAGTACTGTACAAGTGTTGTGCTAACAGTAAGCCATTTCTTAAGTTTTTTGCCTTGATTAGGGTGCCCTAATTTGAGGGTTTTAAAAAAAAACTATATTTTTGTTAATTATAAAACTGTAAAGAGCTATAAAAGCTATTCCCATTTGGTTAGTCAAAAGGGTTTTATTGCTAAATGTTTGGTGTAAAGTTGAGACCCTTTTCCATTTTGGTGACAGATTTCTTTGGGGAAAAAAGGCAGCTTTCTGTTTTATAAATGCAGACTTCTGTTTATTGAATGAAGCATATCTCAGTGTTTATCTGTCAGGTTTTGAAACATTTCATATATGTCCAAATACTTGGCAGGATTTAAAAAAAAATAGTGAATTTGGTGTAAAGTTGCTATTTTATGGAAATGCCTCTAACTTTACATTTTCATTCCATCTGTAGATTTTTCTATCTTTATAAAATATTGGAGTTATTTTTTAAGGAAAAATAGAAAAGTAGCTTGTGAATAGCTCAAACTAAGCTTACAAATCGCATGTAAAAAAGCAAAAAAAGTTATTTGTGTCTGTTTATATTGCTTCCTTTTTTGTAGCCTTTGTACCTGTACAGGGTGACAGTAAGGGCCAAGCAGGAGAGGCGTAATCCTTGTATAAAATAGGATCCAGCGACACTCTTGTATTTATCTGTTCTCTTTTTAGTCAGTCACTTCAAAAAAACAAAAAACAAACAAAAAAAAGCTGTACATTTTAACATAAAATAAATTATGATGAGCCATTTTTAGCCTCTTGTGTCCTGTCATATTATGATTGATAGAGAATGACCAATGGAACTGTATCATGTGTCACGCCTCAGAACACATACACATTTTGGGAAAATAAATTATTTAGTGTAAATTGGAGTTATGGGATTTTCTGATTTGTTTTGACTTTGGGGGAGGGGTTGGCAATAAATAAGAGTAATATCTAATAAAAACCATCACATATACCAAATACCTATTTAATAAATTAATTTATAATGGATTTTAATGCTTTTCATGAAAGTTTATTTTATGCGAGTGCATACCTTCTGTATGCCAATCATTGTCTTTAAAATAAAGTGAAATTGTTTTTTTCTTTTGGACTTTGATCTTCATTTGCAAAGAGATCCCGCACAAATATCCAGCTGCCTCACTCGCACAGTCTGTATAAACACCCCTCTGAGCCTCACACCAGGGTAGCAAACTTCCTTTTTATAAAGATTAATACCAAAAAAATACCCAATTTGGGATTGTATGTTTGAAAAATCATTTTCTTTTTTTGAAAGTATGAACGTTTTGCTCTGTTGTGAATGATTAATTGTACGTTTTCTTGTTTTCTTTAGAGCCTAAAGTTTAGACCCCCTGCCAAAAGTGAATATTCACAAGTGTGGTGTTCAGAGAAAGTTCTGAGTGTCACTTGAATTTGGTTATTTGAGCAGCAAGTCTAGAAATGAACGCTTGACTTAGCACCTGTGTGAAACTGACCTGTTAAGCTCTCCAAGTGTCTGACCATGGGTGCTTGCAACTCCTCTGTTAAGTCACTACCCTGTGGAGGAAAAGAGTGGCTTTTGCACTGCTGGTTCTACACAAAATAATTAGATGTTGTACAGAGTGTAAACATAAGCCTTAAAGTAGACCCAAAATCTTGCAAAGGCAGGATAGAGCATATATACCAGAATAAAAGGCCTCATGCAGACAGAGGATGCCCAATGGAGTTCTGCCTTGTACTCTCACCCTTATCATTATTTTCTTTCACAGTGACAAAATACATTGGGTTTAGTGTCAGGATTTTATCTTTTAGTCCCCTCCTTCCTCAACTGCAAAGTCAATGGGGGTAATATATGTAATAGCTGAGGGAGGGCTTCCAGGAAGACACGTCTGCAAGGGCCATTGGCACACAGGGAAGAGATCCATTGAAGGTGCTGTGCTATTAGGAAAGAAAACCTCTCAGCCACCCTCAGGGTGGGAAGTGGTGGTCTATGCCTGCATGAATCCAATGCTGCATCCACTCAGGAGTGGCTGAGGACTGGGCAGCCCAGTGGGCCATACATCGGGCAAGAGGCTGCCAGAGCCCCCCATGGGACCCAACCGGAAACACTCACATATTTAGTTTCTTTCCTCTTGGGTTAAGGTTCTCTGGGGACTGAGATTCCCCTCTGTGTTCCCTTTGGCCATGGGCTGCTAATCACACCTTTTGGTTTGTACAATGTCTGGGTTCCCATACCCTGCCTGCCTAAGAGCCCTCTAAGGGAGCTTGTGGAAGAGTCCTGGTCGTTGCCCTAGACCTGCCAACCCAGAATCTAAGAACAGTCCCAGGGACACCTTGGTTCCCCAGGCTCCCTAAGGACTGCAGCATAGCTAGGACTGGGAGCTCCCCAGCTGGCCCCAGTCCCAACATTCCTTGATGGAACAGAAAGTCTTAGCATGGGAAGGAAACTGCTGATCTGAGATGGCCTCAGAACACCCTGCCCTCCACCTACCCACTCTCATTAGAGAAATCAGTTCACATCTGAATGTGATGCCAAGGATTTGGGAAAACAGAAACTTGGATTCATCAAAACTGAAATACCAACAACATTAGATTGAGATTCATTAACAGGCCACATCATTTAAAACCATAACTGTATTCTGTTCTTTATAAGATGTACGAAGTGGTGGTCAGTCGCCAGCCTCACTTTTTAGTAGTTTCAAGTGGTGCCTAACTAGGTATGAGGGCATCCGCCTTCCTTGCCAACATTATATTTTAGAAATAATGACTCAACAATATTGTCACAAAGCTTTCACACACTCCTCCCACACACCCACCCTGTGCAGGAAATGGAGCCCTTGTTTCCAATTTACAGATCCGGAGGTTGAGGCTCAGATTTCGCTACAGTAATTGCCCAAACTCACCCGACTAAAATTTGTGAGCTGAAACAAACCCAGGTCTTTCCAAATCCCAGCTCTTTTTTCTAGAACACTATACTCTGTGAAAGGCCCTAACTTGTCACCTCTCTGATTTAAAGGCTTGGCTAATGAATACATGATGCTGTAAAAACTGTTAAGTGCTATATAAATACAGGTCCCTTTGTGGCTGCAAGCAAGCCTTGGTCTACAATCAGTCTTAGATACTCAGGGTATAAGTACTATCACATTATGAAGCAGCACCTTCCATTCTCTGTACCCAGGTTTCCATCATTCCTTCCACCTTCTCCATCCTCTTTCCTGGACCTTCCCCGTCCACCCAGGCTTAGCTATAAACATTGATGTTCTGCAACACTCAGGCCCCCTCTTGTCTCATCATCTCATCTGGTATGATGACTTCAAATTCCACCTCTCTGCAGATGACACCCGGAATTACATTCCCAGTTGTGAACATTCCTCTGAGCTTTAGATGGTACGACAAATGACCTGGGACACCTTTTGTACATCTGCATAACAATTGAACTGATTTCCAACCCCTCCTCCATTCCTGCTGGTTTCCCCCCATCTCAATATTAAAGCACTGCCAAGAAACCAGATCAGGTGGCCCTCATTTCCCCTCCCCATCTCGGCAGGTCCCATCCGTTTTCTGGGTTAATTCAAAAATAATCTTGAATACTAATCCCCTGGAGCTGTCCTTCCAGGCCACCTCCTCCTTTCCTGTCAACAGCCTCCTAACTGGTCTGGCCTCACTTCTTAACTCCCTACAACTTTGTTCTCCATACTTCAGCCAAAGGATCTTTCCAGAGTAATCTTGAAACAGATCATACCATTCCTCAGCTTAAAACTCTTCAGTGAATCTTCTGTGAACCTGGAATAGAATCAAGTCTCTCTGCCCCTCTCCTTCCACTCCCGCTCTCAGCTCCCAGCTCCAGCCTCACTGATGGGCAGTTCCTAAGCCTTGAATGCACCAGCACATTTGGAAAGTTTGTACCTTCAAGCCTAAGAGAGGTCTTCCTGGACCACCCCGCCTAAAGAGGGTTTCTCCCCTTTCCCCACTTTTCTCCACTTCCGTGCCTATTTCCCAGATTGTGCTTTATCACAACGTGCATTTTTATTTTTCCTGTTGGCCCCAACCCAGTTTTTGGCATGTGGTAGGTTCTCAGTAGACACTTGGTGACCAAACGAATATCTAATATCTTACTTCTGAAGACTTGAAACACTTTAGCAAAAACTTCTGTTTCTCTTTTCTCCTGCCTCTGGTTCCCAGGAGTCATCTAGAAGAGACCAGAACTGCCACTTTGCCATTCTTAGCTTCTGCTGCCCTGAGGAAGGTGTGGGGTGCTCGGGAAACACCAGCAATGCACCTAGCTATGCTCCATCTTCCCCAGCGTGAATTCATCTAAATGTAAATATTCATTAAAATGGAAATACTGGCTTCTCTCTGGACATGGCACAGATCAGAGCTAAGCAATAACTGCGTTCAGATGGGGGTAGCAAAATCCCTACACTGGGGCCATTATGACCCTGGGTCCCTTTTGGTCTGCATCTCTTTCTCAAGAGCCAGGATATGGTTCCCTCACACCCAAATATGAGTCATTAAGCAATTCCATCATCCGTAGTCATCACACACCTAGTATTGCCCTCCCCCCTCACAGCCATATGAGTTGTGACTGATAGACCTGATCTCTGTCAGGACTGTCGCATTTTCAGAGGGAACATGTCCCCCTTTTCTATCTTAGCACCAAGACATACCAATTCACTGCACATTTCTATTTCTGTGTCATCTTTGCCTTTTTGCTTTGTGACCCCTTTGCAATGTTTCAGGTTTCAAAATGTATTAGAAGACCAGTGCTCTTACCATGACGGCATCCCCGAGGAACGTCCCCTGAAACCCTGTGTGCATGTTAACATGAGGTCCTTGGCTCCTCCTGGGCCACGGCGACTCTCAGAGCAACTTGGGGCAGTCCCAGGAAGCCAGGCCCAGCCACAGGGGCCCAGGCTTCAAGTCCTCCTCTCTGGCACAAAAGCAGGGGGTCTCCCCAAAGGTCACAGGGTGACTCAGGTGGTTTACACATCTACTGAGCCCCTGGACTCTCTCCTCCACCCATCAATAACTTCCTCTCATTCTGCTGAAAACCACAAACAAACTGAAGCACAGGACCCCTTTTCGTATTTTCTTAGAAGGCCTTTATCACATTCTTTCTGCTTTCTCAGGCAGGCTCCGTTTCTGGTCCTTGACGGCCGGCATCTCCAACAGCAGCACCTCTCTTTGGGTTCTGCCTGGTTTGGGATTCCTGGCCCTGGAAGCTGTCGCTACCCGCTTCGTGCCTGCGGCCATGTTCTTCAGAGTGGAAATCACGCAGTCATGGCGCCTGGCTTAGCTCTCAGGGAGGCAAACTCCACACCTGAGCTTAAATGGCTGCCCCATCCTCCATTCCACAGCAGACAACAATTTGCAAATACCTTCTGCTATGACTGAAAACCAGCTTGTGTTGCTTTGATTAGAACCCACGTGAAAAGAGCCTCCCTGAGATCCTCCCTAGAGAGGGTCTCCTCCGTTTTTCTCCCCAAAATTAGAAAGTTTTCCAAATTCACCAAATTTTGTTGGGGTAGTGGCAGCCCTGGGTAAGAGTCTGAGGAGCCCTGGGTTCCTTGGGAAAGTGGGGGAAGCCTAAAGCAGGAGCCTCTGTACAGGGGTTCAGGACCTCTCCCCACCCTGCTGGAGGAGCACATCTAGAGATAGTGGTGTGAGCCTGGGGGTTCCGCTGAAAAGACAAACGGGTGCAGGGGATGCCGCGGAAATGCAGGACATCCAGGAAGGAGCCTTCCCGCGGCTGCACAGGTGCTCCTGTGACATGGCTTGCCCGGGTACCGTTCTGTGGTTGGAAAAGCAATTTCTATTTTAAATTACTTTTTATAAGAACATGACTTTCCTTTCAGACAAAGCCAAACATTTAATCACAGCATAATGCCTACACATTTTAAAATCCTTTCCCTCTTCCATCTCACCAAAAAAACAAAAACAATACAGGAGACTGCGTCACGTGCTCCTCTGTGACCCAGAGCCAGGGAGCCCGTCCCTCCCATTTTTGCGGAGAGGCTGAGCGCTTGGCTTTCCCCGGGGGTGGCTCTGGGTCCCCCCATCCCCAGCACACATAAGGAAGTTGAACAAGATGGTTTGGAAGAAATCGAGCTTCAGTTTCACTGTTCCTTCCCTGGAGTCCTAGGCCAGAGTTCCGCCTCTCCTCTGTGTCCCCAAGTGCCTCTGCTGGCCCAGTGAGGCGGGCCCTACAGCTCCCTGCCGTCGGCCTCCTCACTGTCCTGGCGCTGGTCCTGTCGCCTCTGCTGCACCAGCTGCTTGTCCAGTTCCCGGAGCTGCTTCAGAAAGCCCCGGTTGGGGAGGACACAGCGGTTCTTGGCCACTTGCTGGATGGCATCCACCAGGGTCATGTCCTTGTGGATCATCAGGTAGGCCAGGACCAGGGTGGCTGACCGGCTGCGGCCCATGACACAGTGAACCAGGATCTTACCTGCAATTGGAGCGGGGAGGAGAAACCCCACACTGAGGAGCAGATGTGGGGGCCGTGGGCAGGGCCCACTGCCATCCTGTCACCCTCTCACCCACAGCAAGTGACTCAGCACTGTGCCCCACAGCTGCCCCCTCTATAGAACGGGGACACTCTTGGTGTCTTCTTCATAGGGTTGTTGAGAAGGCAAATAACCCTATAAATAACTTGATTTTTTATGCTAACGAATGGCTGCTGAGCTCCCACAGCGTGGCTGGGCTGCCCTTCCCCTGTGCACCATGGCCAGAAAGCAGGCACCTCCTTCTTGATTGTTGTTTCGGTTCTGGGAGAGGCTGGCCCCAGAGTCTCCCTGGCATGACCACATTCCTGGGGTGTGGACATGTCCAGCTGGATGAATGTATAGTCCTGGCATTCAAATCCCCACGGGCTGTTCCGGAGGTGCCGGGCCCCTGGCCAGCCCTGCTGATAACCAAAGTGTTTCTTCCTCTCCCAGAAAACAGGGTAATTCTTTCTGTCATGACTCAATACTTGAAACAGATGAAAGCTGTAGTTCATTAAGCCTTTTAGGGGCCTGATGTCTATTAAGTGGCAGTGGGGAGGGGAGAGAGAGTTGGAAGGGAGATGGAGGGGGTGGGAGAAAAGGGGGAGGTGGAGGGATCGAGAGAGAAAGGGGAAGAGAAGGGACAGAGGACACTCAGCTCTGGTAGGAGCTCCAAGAGCTGAATTTTGTTTTCAAGACCAGGGTATGAGGCCGGGTACAGTGGCTCACACCTGTAATCCCAGCACTTTGGGAGGCCGAGGTGGGCATATCACTTGAGGTTGGGAGTTTAAGACCAGCCTGGCCAACATGGCAAAACCCCATCTCTACTAAAAATACAAAAATTAGCCCATCATGGGATGCACCTGTAGTCCCAGCTGCTCAGGAGGCTGAGGCAGCAGAATTGCTTGAACCTGGAAGGCAGAGTTTGCAGTGAGCTGAGATCGTACACTCCAGCCTGGGCAACAGAGCAAGACTTCATCTCAAAAAAAAAAAAGAAAAAGAAAAGCAAACCCAAATCCAGACTCTCTGCTGCTCCTCAATTGCATGCTTTCAGGAGTGACTCAAAGGTAGGCCTCTGTCACTCAAATCAGACATAGGCTGAGGCTGTTACCCTGCACCATGCCCCAACCCCTAGCCAGGTGTGTGCCTTGCTAAGCAGCCTCCTTCCTTGCTTTCAGGAGATGCTCTCTGCCCATCTCCCACGCACTATCTGGTAACCTGCCTTTCTTAGCAACTTGCAAAGAAATTCTGGTAGAGCCCCTACTTCTTCCCAAGAGCTTCTAGGTGTGTGGAAGTCCTGGGAAAAAGGATGCAAGGTGTATTATGAACTGTCGGGGCTGGAGGGAGATAGGGCAGGAGACCCTTAAAACAGTGAAAATAGGTCAGGCGTGGTGGTTCACGCCTGTAATCCCAGCACTTTAGGAAGCTGAGGCGGGTGGATCACTTGAGGTCAGGAGTAGAGACCAGCGTGGTCAACATGGTAAAAACCCGTCTCTACTAAAAAATGCAAAATTTCGCCAGGCGTGGTGATAGGCACCTCCCAGCTATTCAGGAGGCTGAAGCAGGAGAATAGCTTGAACCCAGGAGGTGGAGGTTGCAGTGAGTGGAAATTGTGCCACTGTACCCCAGCCTGGGTGACAAAGCGAGACTCCATCTCAAAAACCAGAAACAAAAACAAAACGGTGAAAATCTGGTCTGGTTAAAGCTTATTAGAAGCAACAGAGAATCAACCTCCTGCTTGAAAGCAGGCTTAATTTATTTATTCATACCTCCCTTATCCATAATAGATTTTAAGACGGCTTCAAAAGCAAGCTATGGACTGTTTAAGAACAAGAAAGAGCAGACAAAAGGAGAGTGTGATACTAAAGTCTGATCTTTAGCACCTCATGACATTTGCCCTGGAGTTTCTTAGAAGACTTCATTAAATTAAAACCACACTAATTCACCTTGGAGCATGCTGCATCGGGAGCAGTTAAGGCAACCCAAGTGGGGTTCCCATGGCAGTATTTTGTGAGTACTTCTTTTTCTGATGAAGACTGACAAGTTCATTTTTTCAGATCCTATAACCAGCTGTCATGCCTTACCCTCCATGATATTTGGTGACCTCTTATACAGCAAAGTCACCAGGTGCTCAAAATAAGGGCAGAGGACTCTTCTGTGAGGCCTCAGTGACAGAAGGAATCCCTGCTGGCAAGCAGGTGTCCTGATGGCACTGCCTCTGATTAGCTCTGTGACCCTGGGCACCTCACTTGGCTTCTCTGGGCCTCTGTTTGCCCAGCTGTCAGGGCAGGATCAGAGATTAGATTATCTCCGAGATATTTTAAGAGTGACTGAGGTTGCCTGGGGAGTTCTTTCTAAAGGGTCAAGGCAGGGTAGGGATGGGGTGGGAGAGGGCCCCAGAGGCCATGATACAGCTCCACAGCACCACAAGGAATGCTTTTCAAAAAGAGTGAAAAAAAGACTGGCTGTGAGAAGCCGGGTGGGGGGAATGGTGTACACTTGGCTGAAACCAGTCAATGGAGAACGAAGAACAAAGACAAGAGGAAGCAGAGTGATGCTTTGCTTTTTGGCCAGACTGTCCATCCACACCTCTTACATCAAGTGTATATGAAACATACAAGTGGGTCTGGTTGGCATTAAAAAGCCAAGTGCGTCCCTTAGTTTTCCCTTGTGTCCATCACTAAAATGCCAAGCAGTGTCCCTTGGTATTCCCTTGGGTCCAGCACTAAAATGCCAAGCTGCGTCCCTCGGTTTTCCCTTGGGTCCGGCACTAAAATGCCAAGCAGTGTCCCTTGGTTTTCCGGTGCATGTCTAGACACAACTGGGCCACCCACTCCATGTGCCAGGTGGGCTGAGCACCGGCTGTCCGCTGGGTATGAAGCCTATAATATTGCTGCTGCTGAGTTAGCGGGCATTTTGTTTGGTTGCTCTGACCACTCAGGGCACAGGTTACAACCTGATGGCCATTGGGTTGGTTTAGTTTGTTCTTTGTAGCATTTCAAGAAATTTTAATCTGTTGCCAAGACCTAAAAATTGAGCGATTTTATAGTAAAATCCAGATTGGAGACTTCTGAAAAGCCAGATCTCCCACATTTGCACTGACTCTCAGAAGACAAGCATTGGCTGAGGCTGAGTGGCAGGTGCCCCTCTGAAGGGGGTACAGGGCTCTCTGCTTAGCCACAAGCACCCCCTACCCACGTCCCCCTGCTGTACATGCAGCCAGCTGTATTTGTTTACACTCTGCATGCTTCTGCACATTAGGCATTTGAACCCTGACTTGAGGAAGTCTTCAGCCGGTGCAAAGGCGTTGAGAGCAGAGCCCAGCCTGCCATCTCCCATGGGGTCATGTCCTGCTCCCCATCCCTAGCCATCCAGTCAAGTCCCAGCAGCCCCATCCATTCATTCTATCCCCCTCATAGTCTCTGATCTGAGTATATACTCTCTTCCCTTGGCCCTTCGTTTGCTAGGTGCCACCTTGTCTAACAGTCACGACCCACAGCAGCCTGACACCTCCTCATGATGTTCTGTCATCTGCCTAGGCTAAGCTTCTACTTGAGAGCCTGATTCTTTCTGGATTTGGCAGTGGGGGCAGACTCTAAAACGGAGTGCCAGGAACCTAAAACAAGCTTTCATGTGAGTATATCTTACAGTTCAAAGTTGGAATGTATTTTTTTTTTGAGATTGGAAACTTTATGATGATGATGTGCACATGCTGGCGTGATTATATTCTTCACGGTATATGACCACACTTTATCAAAAACATCCGAGAGCCTGCTGTCTGCCAGGTTCTGTGCTAAGCGCTTTATGTGTGTTACTGCTGATCCTCATTAGAACCTCTGAAGGTAAACATTTTTATCACCGGATGGAGAAACCAAGGCTCAGAAAAATCACATTGTTAGTAAATTGTGCGACAGAAACTTAAACCCAGCCATGTCTTTTCCGAAGCCTGCCAGGCCCCTTCCATGAAGGGTAAGGTCTAAAATATAGTAATGGCAAGTGAGTGCATTAAACAGAAACTGAAAGATTAGGTTGCTGCAGTGTTTTTTTCATGTCAAATATGTTTTCAGTTAACATCAAATACTATGAGGCAAATTTTACCTTGTGGTGATGACTCAGCTCAGTTGCTTTTTTGATCCTGCTTGGAAACTCAGAATGTACACAGCACAAAAGACAGTTCAAAAATAGACTCATAAAAGGAAGGCTTGGAAATGAGGCATCTTCCAATACAAGCATGTTAGCTCTAGGGGTTTTTCTCATTGTGACATTGCTTTCTGAGCCAAAATAATGACATATTGTTGGTGGCTATGGCTGGCTGTGGGGTCAGGGCCACCTCAGGATGCCCATTAAGGTCTGATACTGTCCAGCAGACCTGGCCTAGGCCCAGTCCCAGTTTGCAAGTTCCTGCCGCTGACAGTTTGGTCAGTCACTGAGCCTTGTCGTCACAACCTCTTGTGGCAAGAAAGACTTTCAGTAACTGGATACCCTGAATTATGTGACGGCCCCACAAAGGGCTGTGTGACACATTGGGCTGAAGTCAGAGCACAGATTAGGGAGCTGAAGTCCCTCTGGCCTCTGTGGAATGCCACTGAAGTACACCCTGCAGCAATAACTGTATATTGTCTTACCCCCAATGGGTACCTAAGCTGTGCCCTTCTCTCCAAAATAGCCTTGTAGCTTTTGCTGGATTAGGGTGGCCAACAGTGCATTCCGAGCACAAAGACTAGCACTGTGATTTAAAAGATGGATAATTAACGCTGGAAAAACTTGGACACTGGAGGTGCAAAACCCAAATTATGCCTCAAATACAGCTTGTCAGCTTTCTACTGGAGGCCTCGCTAGGCTGAGTGTAATTGGGGACATGGTGGCTAGAGAGTGGGCTGTGAACTTGGTTGGTAGGAAGGGAAATTTAAAGTCTCTCCATGGATTCCCGCTCCCTGAGTGTTTTGAATCCCTTGGCTACCAGCTGAGTTGGGGCCCAGGCATAATTAGTGTCTCCGGCGGCGTCCCAGCTTTGAGGCCGAGCACCTCTTGAAGTATGGCAAATGTTCTTTAGCAAAGACTCCGACAAAAAGGCCTTTCCTTTACACCCTCCCAATTTCCATTCCCCAGAGCTGCAATCAAGGCCTGAAGCCACCAGCAGCACGCTCGGTGGTGCAGGTCCTTATACCTTCACAGCTTCCAGGGTCTCGGAAATATAGTAATGGCAAGTGAGTACACTGAACAGAAACTGATGGATTAGGTTGTTGCAGTCTTTGTTGTTGTTTTTTTTTTCAAACGTCAAATATGTTTTCAGTTAACTTCAAATACTATGAGGCAAATTTTACCTTGTGGTGATGACTCGTTTCAGTTGCTAGAGGGTGGACTGGTGAACTTGGTTGGTGGGCAGGAGAATTTAAAGTCTCTCCATGGAGAGGCATTACCGTCGGCCACTAGCAGCCCCAGTGGCCTGGCTTCGCGACAGACACATTTTTCGCATGCGCAGATCCCGCTTCCGGCCTGGGCCTCAGGCGGGGAGACCTTGGGCTAGGGGCGGGGCCTAGGCGGACCGTGGGAGGGACGGGGCCTAGGCTGGGGGCGGGGCGGAACGGGGCGGATGGGGCGTCTCTTACTGTGGTCGTCGCGTAGTGCTCTGTCGATGAAGGCGGCCGCCGGGTAGAAGAAGACACTGAGGTCGAAGGTGGGCAGGTCTTCGGCCTCCACACCATGGTACTGGATGTCCATGTCGTGGTAGTAGTCGGGCCCGGTGTCCACGTTCCAGCGGCCGTGGGCCGCATTCAGCACGTGCGTGAAACCAGCCTTCTGCAGCCCGTAGCGGTCCAGCGCCGTTGCCCTGAGCGCAGGGGAGAGAGGTCGGTGGGCACGCTGCACCTTGCCCGGGGTCTGGGAAACGGGCTGCCCACGCTTTCTGCCGTGGATTCCAGTTCCCAGAATAAGGACGAATCATTGCATATGAAGCCCCAAAGCTCTGTTCTTACCCGGTCCCCTAGGGCACCTGCTGCTTTATGATTCTGGCTCGACTGTTTCAAGAAAGGAAAGGGTGAAGGCTGTGGTAGGTGGGCTGAGCTATTCGTTCGCCCATTCATTCTTTCATCATTCACTAGACACAGCGGAGCCTGGTGCTGCACTCTGTGGTGGTCGCAGGTCTGGACCTGCCAAATCGCCTGAGAGCCTTCCAGAATAACCTGTTCATTGGGGCTGCCTTCACCCAGCCTCTCCTCTGAACCTGCTGGATGTTTTCAGGGTTTGGAGATGGAGGCTCAACTGAATGGTTTAAAGCAAGGCCTTCCATGAGAGGATTGGATTGGGATTGGGCAAAGTTCACAAATTCACATTGGCACGATGTGAACGGGAAAGTGTTGCTTTGGGGAGCTGTTGCCCAGTTGGGCAGAGCATTGTTCTGAGAAGGATGGCTTTTTGAGCTATTGTTTGAATTGCAGGGAGGTTCTTGAAGCCAGCAGTGAAGTTATTTAATGGGCTACAGCTTTATCTTTCTTGGCAAGAATTTCCAGGAACGGTAAAGTCCTCTCGAAGTAGATGGTTCTGGAACATAACTCGACTACAGGGCAGCATGGTGGGGCTGGGCTGGAGCTGGGCTGCCAGAGGAAACACGGGTTCTTCCTGCCTGCAGGGCTGGGCAGGGAAGGGTGTGTGTCACTACAAGTGTCAACTTTGGTAATGGAGGGGAATAAGGAGGCAAGCCAGGGCCAAGCCAAGGAAACAGCACCGCCTAAGGTATGGAGATAGAGACAACGAAGGCCTTTCAGGAAGCCTTCACTATTTCCTGTAATCAATTCTCCATCCCCAGATTTGCAGTCTATTGTGTGCCAGGCACTGTGCTGGGTGCTGATGGTAAATAAGTGAACAGGGACCAAACGCAATGGCTCACACCTGTAATCCCAGCACTTTGGGAGGCCGAAGCAGGCAAATCATTTGAGGTCAGGAGTTCAAGACCAGCCTGATCAACATGGCAAAACCCTGTCTCTACTAATAATACAAAAAAAAAAATTGGCTGGGCTTGGGGCACATGCCTGCAGTCCCAGCTGCTCGAGAGGCTGACACAAGAATCGCTTGAACCCCAGAGGTGGAGGTTGTGGTAAGCCAAGATGGCACCACTGTACTCCAGCCTGGGCGACAGAGTGAAACTGTGTCTTAAAAAAACAAAAGTGAACACGTTAGTCAAGGTCCCTCAGGAAGGTCAGATACTAATGCGGGTAGGAAATAAACAACGCATACAGATAATTTCAGATAGCAGTGAGAGCTATCCCAAGGACCTAAAACTTTATGACATGCTACAGAATGACTGTGGTCCTGCTTCAGGCAAGGTGATCAAGAAAGGCCACTATGGGGAGGTGGGGTTCAAGCCAAGACAGGGATGAGAAGGCTGAGGAAGAGTTGGAAAGAAAGTGTTGTTTCATCCAGGCGAAGGGAACAAGTGCTGAGAACAGAAAGGAAGCCAGTGTGGCTGAAGTAGCAAGGGGAATAGCGGTACAGGAGTTTAGAAAGGAAGGAGGGGCTGGATCGTGGTGGGCCCTGCAGGCCATAGGAAGGAGTTTGAGTATTATTGTAGTGTGGTGGAAGTCTGCTAGAGGATTTTAAGGGAGGAGTAAGCATTCTTTACTTTTTTAAAGATCAATCTGGCTGGACAAGCTGGCTCACACCTATAAACCTGGCACTTTGAGGAGGCCTAGGTGGGAGGGTGGCCTGAGCCCAGGAGTTCAAGACCAGCCTGGCCAACATCATGAAACCCCATCTCTACAAAATATGAAGAAAAATATTAGCCGGGTGTGCTGGCAGGTGCCTGTAGTCCCAGCTACTGGGGAGGCTGAAGTGGGAGAATCACCTAAGCTTAGGGAAGTCCAGGCTGCCTTGAGCTGTGATCGCACCACTGCACTCAGTCTTGGCAGCAGAGTGAGACTCTGTTTTAAAAAAAAAAAAAAAAGGAAAAGAAAAATCAGTCTGGCTGATGTGTGGAAACAGATCGTGGATGCCAGGATCTGTGTCTGGGAGTCAAGGAGAGCTTTAGAGGGTGTTTAAAGAGACGTGATCTAACCTGGGTTTAAGAAGACATCTCCCTCAATAACACAAAGACCAGTACTTCAGCTCAGGGAAGATGTGGCAAGGGTCTGGAGCCATACCAGTAAAAGGGTAAAAGTGCCATTGTGCTCCAGCCAAAGGCTCCTCTCAAGGCCACTGGTAAAAGGATATGGACAGAAGTGACCGTGTTGGATGCTAGCAGGGACCAACACCCTGGGCCAGGAGGAGCCTCGCACCAGAAATACGTGCCATGGCCCCTCAGCCAAGGGCACACTTATCTTTCACTGATTTCCTGGAGCTTTTTATTTGCCATGAGAACCATGGTGGTGTCCAGTGTTTGGGAAAGGGATTGAGCATTTGGAAACATTTGCAAACAGCCCATTGGAACTGTGGCATGGGGAGGCGGGGAGTCCCACTGAGCACACCTCCACTTGGCTCTTGCTGCAGGCATTCTGACTGTGGAACACATTGGGCTTTCAATTTTTCCTCAGAAAGGTCTGCTTTTCATTTTTCCTGTTGTCCCAAAGCATGTATACAACAAACATGCTCTGGGGACATAGATCTGATCCCGATTAAAGCCACCACTAATGTGGTCCATCTTGCTGAGTAGCAATCAACCTCACTTTGAGGTTGAGCTCAGTGGAAAAATTAAAAATAACTCTCCTTGACAGGAAGCTCCTACCCACCATGAAGACTGTTCTCTCTGGGTTCAGTAACTGGCTTTCAACATAATCAAATGGCAGTTTGAATGAATTACAATTTGCACTTTGCCACTTTTGGGGAAGGGGGTAGATATGCAACAAGTCTCATTGCCTGACACCTCCATATCCACCGCAACAGGCTGCCGTTGGCTGTGCCTGAAGGAGAGAAAGGGGCTCACGAGGACCCCAAGACCTGGTGGGTATTTGAGGCCTGCCACAAGTTTTCAGGGTCTTGGCTACCTGGGCCGGGAAGGGGAGTTGATATCCTCACACATCATTCGGGGGACTTCCCCCAGTTTGGTTTACTCAGAGTTCAGTTGAGGGCTTGAAAGAGCATCCACAGCAGAATGGGAATCTGCAAATAAATGGAATGCCTCTTACACAGATGCTGTGGGGGAGGCAGAGCTATCATCACAGACACCCACCGTCCAATCCCCAGCTGGGATAGACACCCAGCTCAGTGATTACCGGGAGTGGGACAGGCTCAGAGAGTGATGTCTGGCACTATACCGTTCTGGTTTTGTTTTTAAATTTCAGGGCCAGATACATTATCTGCTCACATATGTTGAAAAGAGACTAACAAACACAGAGGCATTTTGAGGTGATGGGCATGGAGAAAGGGCTGTGTGCCCCACTCCTGGGTTCACATTAATGCCTCTGCTGAGGGAGAAAAGACTTCAGAAAGAAAAACAGATTTAGGAATTTACTTCCAGAATCTAGATGACACAGGAGCTTTAGTTACTGGTTAGGAGCAATCCTAGATGTGATCGTCTATTAAAATTTTAAATAATGTGTCATCTCACAACAAAAATAACACAGCTCTATGTAGAATGTAGAAAACATACCCTCCACTCCAAAAAAATCGCCTGTATTTCTGCTCCCCTAGAGATAAAGGTTCTTGTTGGCTTTTGATGTAAGATCCTCCCATTGTTTTTCTAGGTATAGATTTGTATATTTTATAGAGAGTTGCTTTTTTTTTTTGGTACAATATGATAAAGTTTCAAAACCTTTGATGTGGTGGCATATTGTAAGCATCTTCCTATAGCAACATATAACTTCAATAACTGCATGCTATTTCATTATATAGGTAAATCCCAATTTTTTCTTACCAAGCATTTTGCTGTGTTTCTTTGGGCACTTCTCTGATTATACCCATAGGAGACATTTTTACAGGTGAAATTGCTGAGTCAACAGATATGGCCATTTTAAAATAGGTTTGATACTTGTTACTAAATTACCCTACAGAAAAGTTGGAGTTTGATTTTTATTCTTTAATTTCATAGGCAAAAAAAAATTAATGGTGTCTCGTTTTCACTGATTGATTTTAGCAATGAGGTTGGACATTGTTCACACATTTGTTGTTGGACTCATGCAATTTACCTTCTATTTTTTTTACATTTTTTTGACTTTGCCCAGTCCATTGGAATCATGCAGTTTACTTTTTTTTTTTTTTTTGAGATGGAGTCTCACTTTGTCCTCCAGGCTGGAGTGGAGGCGCAATCTCAGCTCACTGCAACCTCCACCTCCCGGGTTCAAGCAGTTCTCCTGCCTCAGCCTCCCGAGTAGCTGGGATTACAGGTGTGTACAACCATGCTCAGCTAATTTTTGTACTTTTAGTAGTCAAGCTGGTCTTGAACTCCTGACCTCAGGTGATCTGCCCACCTTGGCCTCCCAAAGTGCTGGGATTACAGGCGTGAGCCAACACACGCAGCCTACACAGTTTGTTTTTGAAGAACACTGTCAGTCATATCCCAGTTCTGACTCACTTCTCTTGAACCCTTCTCCCTTCCTGTGAATTTACAGCCTAGCTCTGGATTCTGACTCCAGACTAGAGGAGGGCTGAGGAAGTGTATTCCTTCTTGCATGGCCCAATTTCCTCAGCTAAGCCCTTCCCTCCCTGCCTCCTCTGGCCTGGCCCAGACACCTGCCAGCTCCTCTGGAGTTGTTCCCAGGAAGCTTGCTTCAAAGCCCCATCCTGGAGGAATGACAGATAAGCTATCTCTCCATGAGGCAGTCTCCTTGGGCAGTGCTCCTGACGTTTCACTTGTTCAGACCCCTTGTCACCCTCCTGTTGTCAGCCTAAATACCTCAGCCT